GAGTATACCCTCGTAACGTGCAGGCCGCATTCTTGGATACTGATGCGTAACAGAGACCAAGAATATCACCAGCACTGGTTGTGGAGCACCTGTTCGTTACAAGGGTGACTCCTTCATGGCTATTGGCATAGCTGGAGCTGTTGTCGCTATATTAGCCTTCATCCTGAGAATGGCCGCTAGTATAGGCAAGAAGGGCCGCCAGGTATCATGGGACGACTTGACGATGTTTATTGTTGTCTTGATTGCTGTACCTCCCGCGGTCTTTACCCATTTCTGTAAGACGATTTCGACAAACCTTTGGCCGCCATTTCACTTACAACGTTACAGTGGTTAAAAACGGTCTTGGACGAGACATTTGGACTCTCAAAGCTGACCAGATCACCAACGTCCTGTTCTACTACTTCCTGGGAGAAATCTTTTACGTGACTGGCCTTGGTGTTTCCAAGATCTCGATTCTCTTCTTCTACCTTCGCGTCTTTCCGGCCAAGAGCTTTCGAATCCTTACTTACAGCGTCATGGGCGTCTGTGGGGTCTACACCGTTGTATTCTTCGTCGTCACCCTCATGCAATGCCGGCCCATCAGCATGGCTTGGGATCAATGGGATGGACTCCACGAAGGCAGCTGCAACAACATCCATCTCCAAGGCTGGATCGCGGCCGCTATCAACATCTTCCTCGACGTGGTTGTGATGGCGCTCCCGATGAAACATCTAGCAGCGCTGAACATGGGTATCAAGAAGAAGGTCATGGTCATGTCCATGTTTGGTGTCGGTATCTTCGTCGTCGTCATCTCGGTCATTCGCTTGGAATCCCTCATCCACTTCTCTAATACGCAGAATGTCACCTGGGATTACGTCGACGCCGGTCTATGGAGTCTTATCGAAATCGACGTTTCGATCGTCTGCGGATGTATGCCTGCTCACCGGCTATTGATCGCCAAGTTCTGGCCGAAGATACAGTCGACAATCGGAGCAAGCAAAGCCCTTTCGACGAAAGGTTCAAAGTTCAACAGTACCAACAACACGACCATCAGCTCTACGGCCCCCGAGAAGTCAGTCCGTCTCTCCATAAAACCGAAAGCAAAGGACGAGAACAACTTCATTCCATTGGACGACATGGACGACAACAGCGATCGAGCCATGTTGACGAAACGGGACACCGAACGAGACTCTAGGGGTTGGATCGTGGCAACACATGAGGTGGAAGTCACGCACAGGAATGCTTCGGTGGTCACAGAGAACGCCAATGATGGTAAGCCCCAGGACTGGAACAAGCCTCCTATGATGGGAAGAGAACATGTATGAGTCTTCATGGGCAATATTGGTGTTGTAGCCACTTGGCGTCGACACAAACGGAGTACAGGCGTCACAACCAAGGATATCCCATAGACCGTATCTTCAGAGAACTGTATAATGTACTATATCTTCTACACACCTTCGGTCTTCTCGTCGCTCCCGCATTTCGAGACATCATGTTCAACGCTCTCAACATTTCGGGCATATTGCGTGTACGTACGACATGATTACATTTTCCAGTCCGATGAAGTCACGTCAGTGAGTGGCATGACTAGAGTCCAGGCTGGATCTGGACTCAGACTAAGCGCCGAACTCGGTCGTGAACGACAGTAGCGCGTGGATGCAATGGGTGCGATCGTCCACAGAGTGAAGCCAACAGGCCGTGCTGGGTTCAGAAGCTAGGACGCGGGGAAAGGAGCGTTAAGCCGCTCAGGGCCCACAATGCAACCACGACAGGGATTCTACCAAGGACAACCCTTCTCGAAGACCACTCGTACCAAGGGGGGGTTCAACATCTGCGCGTCCCACTGAAAATGCCAAAATTTTCGCCACTTATCTCTTCCGACATCTTTGCTTCGGTGCTTCTCGAAGGCGTCAGGTGGGCCTTCGACATTACGTATGTACGTTCATCCGAAGGATCTCCGCCAAGGCATTTAATGATTACATATGTGTCGTACTATGCTACCAAACTCCAAGAAGAGCGATCACGAAAAGTGAGTTATCAAAAGTTATGTATGTTATATGCAAAAGCGCGGTTGGCGACAGCATCAACCTTGGAAGCGTTGAGGGAGCCGGAGCGGACCGCAGGGGTAAACTCACAACCTTCGGTTTTCTGGATACAGATAAGCTTGGCCCCAGTTGAACGGGCCGTTTAATTAATCGGACCTTCACACTGCGTCTCCACTATTGGCGATCTGCCTGCTCTTTCCTTTTCTTTCGAGCCCTGGCATCGGGTGTAATTGTTTCAGACCACGTTTCGGGTATCGTCAGCCTTGCTCCTTTTCAACATCCCAAATCGACTGTGTTGGATCTTCTCGTCTAGTCCTCTTTCAGTCCTGTCCCTGGCATAAGTGGAGTCAAAACTCGGTGGCATTTACCGTGCCGCGGTCGTTCATGGTCTTCCCCACGATTCTCCTGGGATTGTTTAATGATGATAGTCGTTGCTTCTCTGCCTGGGCAAACAAAGTGGTTAGCTTGTCACTTTGCCAGAAATCCTCCGATGCAATCGAACGCTCAGCTATGCCACATCCGCATTCAGCAGTTCGTCCGCGTCTCACCGCCGGCTCATCTCCATGTGGCTTACGCTTACATGATGCTCGTAGACACCACCATCTAATTACTATTCCCTTGACTCTCTTTGGCTGTTTGTCTCACAGGTATCTTTTCGAACCATTCCGCTCGCTATGAAGTTCTCGCTTTCCCTTCTCACCCTCCTTTCGGGCAACATTTTTGCCAATGCCTTTCCTTCATCTCTTCATCACAGACACCTCGAAGGCCTCACTCCCGAAAAGCTGAATGCGGCTATTCGATCGGTGGAGGAGTACAAGCATGCCAAGAGACTTCTCGTTGATGTAAAGAAACCCATTGACATCACTGGCAAACACGCCTTCCAAGCTCCCAAGAAGGACGACCAGCGCGGACCGTGTCCTGGACTCAATGCTCTGGCTAACCATGGATACATCTCTCGTGATGGTGTCACCAGCTTCGTGGAAGTGGTGGCGGCCATCAACCAAGGTTCGTCTGATGCGTCTCAAAGTAGACTGGCCAATTCTAACACGCGTGATATCCAGTGATGGGCATGGGCACAGAGCTGGCTCTCGTTCTCGGTATCATGGGTACTGTCTGGACAGGAAACCCACTATCGTTGGATCCTGGTTTCTCCATCGGAGGCCCCACTGCTGGCACGAACAACATCCTAGGAAACCTGCTTGGTCTTCTCGGTAAGTACTATCACTCTGACGTATTCCAGGTGTTCTCATGCTTACGCCCTCCAGGTAAACCTCGAGGTCTTCAAGGTTCGCACAACTGGATCGAGTCGGACTCATCGCTCACGCGCGACGACCTTTACGTGACTGGTGATGCTTGGACAATGAACATGACACTTTTCCGCGACTTCCACGATCGTGCCGATGAGAACGGTGTTCTCTCCATGGATCTGCTGGCCGACCAAGCTGCCCGCCGCTGGGAGTACAGCGTCGCCCACAACCCCAACTTCTATTATGGGCCCGTCACTGGCATGGTCAGCCGTAACGCTGGCTACTTCTTCCTCGGTCGTCTGCTCTCGAACCACACAGCTGAGCACCCCGATGGTGTTCTTACCCAAGAGATCTTCCGCAAGTTCTTTGCCGTCTACGAGTGTGCAAACGGAACCTTGGAGTATCGTAAGGGCCACGAGACAATCCCCGAGAACTGGTACCGAAAGCCGGTGGAGTACGGCCTCATTCCACTGAACTTGGACATCATTTCGTGGGTCGCAAAGCATCCAGTCCTTGGCAGGTACGTATCCAAAATCTTCCACCTTCAGTGTTGAGTGATAGGCTGACATCTCTTGATAGCATCGGCGGCAACACCGGCACCGTTAACTCCTTCACCGGCCTCGATCTCCACAATGTCACTGGCGGTGTCCTTAACGCAGCCTCCCTGCTCGAGAACAACAATCTCCTGTGCTTCGTGTTCGAATTGCTCAAGACATTCCTGCCCAACTCGCTTTCTCCACTGCTGTCGACCCTCGAAGTCCCGATCAGCTTGGTGACGGACACCCTGGCGTCGCCGCTGTTGAGCCTCGCGTGCCCAGCATGGAAGGACATGACCGAGGGTGGCGAGCCGCTATGGGACGGTATACAAAACACCTTTGCTGGTGCGCGCAAGGCGGGTTCAAGCCTCTAGTACAAGCAGGATATGGCCTGCGCCATGCGGTATACCACAATAGTGACATAATTATCTTCTCTTCTCTTGTCTAATATAAGCTATTAACGGGCTGAGCTCGCAAGATTTGGTTGAAGATGCGCAAGCGTGTTTATGTCGCAGTGGACAGCTGCGCTCGCACGAATGCGAGGATTGCTGAGTGAAGATCGTACGCATCAACATTGTGATCGATATCGGCTTTTGCTTACTAGACTACGCTACATATAGCTTGATGAGTAATTGAGGCAGCTGCTTAGGTCCGACAGGAACAGGAATAGGTGGCTGTTGAGATCGTGACGCAGATGTCAGGGCAGAGCGTGAGGTGGTTGGGAGACCCATGGACGCGTTCGCGTCGCGCTGATGAAAGCCTTACCGAATACGGACTAGCGCCTCTATCATGAGCACCTGCATCCATGGATGAAGATCACTCTCTTGCAGACATGGGAAGCTTGAACATCTTGGTCAGATGCAAATGATGTCTTGCTGTAAAGGAGGAAGGTAATGCTTTACAACGCGTTACCATCAGATTGAGGTGGTGGCGTTGAGGGACCTCAGAGAGCTCACAATGGCTTTGTACACATCAGAAGCGCGGCGAATGCAAATGAGATTGCGCGCTTTTGCAATGTCTTGTGTTTACCTTTGCGAAATGGTAGTAATCATTCACGATGTTTGGAAGGTTGAATAGTGATGTATTTATCTTCCAAGGTTGCGTACAGAAATCTAGGTACCTACTTAACAAACGCGAGGTCGCTTCCTCGGCTCAACTTCAATTGTAGGCTTTAGCATATCGACACTCCAGACATGCGTGATAAGTATGAGACGCCCGAAGTCGGGACAATCAGGAAAGACGCATTGACATACCAGGAAGCCATCGAGAAAGGACAACGCCTTTTAGCTCTCACAATCGCAGATATCACCGACGGCCCGCCTCAAAGCCAATTCCAGGACGTTGGTGATCTGGAAATGTGGGGTTGGTGTACTTTCACTCTTGCTAGCCCGAATCCCACTCCTGCTACGAACCTAGTACGAGCCCTAGGCCCTACCCTCAAGTCTTCTCCCACCACAGCTGGTATCCTTACTAATCACGACGACACCGTTACGATCGACGGTAAGACCTATCCAGCCACCATGGCGCATATTCACAGCGTAATAGAACCCGAGGCCGGTATCTTGTTGGCAGAATGCAACACGACGCCGGAAGCAATGCTGAATCCATGTAGGAATCTAGATCCAGCGACGTTGGTACCCAAACTCCCAGAGCTGCGACATTGGTCCGATGTTGCTTTCTTGCAATGGAAGGATGTATGTACTAACTTTGGGTCTCGGTATATGCCAGAACTAAGACTTGTAGTAAGATACCAGGTTCTCAATGCGAACACACGAGCCATCTGTAGCATCACCCTTGCCTCTCTTCGTAAACAACGGCAGGAAACAGCTAAGCCAGGAATCTCGTATGACTCCTGGCTTCCGAGATGGCCAGGTATAGCTTTCCCAATAGAGTCTGAAGAGGCGATGGCGTTATGCGGCACACCCAATGGAAGTGGCGTACTGCATTTGCTCGCTCAGCATAAGGCAAAACTGGGCTACAAGACTATTCAGGAAGTATGCTTGTGCTATGAAGATGAAGATGAAGATGAGAAGGGGTTGCGAGAAGTTCCGACTCTGATATTCCATGTCGAGGATGTTTGAGTAAAGTTAGGTAGCGAGGCCGTAGTGGGGGTCGAGTACAGAGGGACTACATTAAGACCTTTGTAAAAGCATCGCCTAGTCCCCTCCCCACAAGCCATTCCTCGATTGCCTTCATATCACCTCTATTTACTCTTTGACCGCGTCGCTCACCGACTGTGTCGGTTATTTCAGTCATGTCCGGAAAGACCCGCCTTTCACATTGCTCTCGATGTCGCTCGCTGACTTTCTTGTGATGGGCCGGTATGTCGCCCCAGCTTTCCGTTTTGATGTACTTCATGTAATCATCGATACTTTGTGATCCGCCTTCGACGCACAGAAGACCTGGCTTGCCAGCGTAAAGAAAGCCGGTCAATTGGTAAGAAGGAGCGAACTTGATGAAATCGTCGCGCTTGGAGCGTGTGCTGATCGATGGGAAATAGAACCAAACTCTTACCAGCGGTCCAGCGTCCACAGTAGCAAGATCCAGCCCCAGTTCTGTCGTCTCGATTTCCATCAGGTATTCGACTGCAGCTTCTCTGATGTACTCAATTTTACTGAGCAGATCTTCATCTTCCGGAATGTCCGACGTCAACCGCGACGTGGCGGCCTTGTTCATCCATTGCGGTTGCTGCACCCGAACCTTTACCGACGGTGGGTCTAAAGGCGGCTCACTACCGCTAAATGCGAAAGGTACCCCGATATCCAGACGCAATGTCCTTGAGTTCGACGACTCTTCGTTGGGCGTAGATACTGGCAGGTCAAGGATGACTGGGATGACCGGCGTATATTTGGCTGCAGATCTGGACCGAGCATCATCGGTATCGCGCAGGATATCTAGTATTCCCTGAGAGTTCTCGTCGAGTATGATCTCGTCAGGGTACATTGCCAACAAAAGCTCAACTTGGCCAATTTGAAGCTCTATCAGATCGGCTGGTAAGATCTGCCATTGTTGCATGTCTGTCATCATTGCACGATAGATGATGATAGAATTCCTGGAGGTCGGAAGTAGTCGGAGGGGGCTGCGAGATAGAGTGAAGTTTGATGCAGGTGTGACAGGCAAGAAGACGCGCACTAGCGGAAGAGCGAGGTCGGCGTCAATTTTCGGCCACCAGCCACAGGGTGAGCCACAACCGCCACCCGCATCCGGATTGTGAAAAGAGAAATCAGCATCAAGTATTGCACAATGATTTCGATCTAGATTCTATTTTTATTTTCAACAAAAAAGCCTGACCGCTATGCAGGTGGAGATGCCTGAGCTTATTAGCCTTAGTTTCGTCTTGTTCTCTTTCCCCTCCACGTACCTGCCACATGTCGATTATCACACTCGACGTTCCGTTCCTTCTGAGGACGCCTACAGCAGCCACATCGTTCAACCACGCAGCAGTTCCGTTTGTGTCGGTTTCAAATTGTCCTCGCAACATCGTGGGGGCACCATCCGCAGCGGGTGGGAGTCCTATCGTCTGAACGTATATGAAGGTTCCGTCATCGGTCTGGATATTGTATCGGGCGTCTGGTCGGAAAGCGCCTTGCGCGTCCGTAAGGCGCCAGTCCGCGCCGAGATTGAGAACTTTGCCTTACAAGATGTGAGTGACATGACGTCATGATACATAAGAGCACGAGGCACGAGCTGTCGAAGAGATATCCCAGCCTTCTCTCATGATCTTTGAAACACGATGACATGTTTAGGCCAAGAGGACTACTCACCACTTATTCTTGGGCCCTTGAAAGTGCCTCCAACGATAGGGATGACTATGCGTTCTTGCCCGGTTGGAATAGAACCGAGCGAGAATCTTTCTCCCAGGAGCGCTTCCATGTGGTAAATTAGGGTCATCTGAGGTGGTTCTGGTACGCTTTGTGCCATTGTGAAGGTAGTAACAGCAGCAAGTGCAGTGATTGGGGTGAAGAGTCGCATGGTGAAAGCAGCGGTAACGTTGCTAGGTACTAGTTGGAAACTCTAAACGCAACGACATCATAGTCGCATAGCCAGAATATATACATGTGCTACAGTGCGGTGACAAGCTTCCATGCCGTCGCCAGGTACCGAAGATGACGTACAGCTTTAGGTTCCGCGTTCCTGCAGCAACCCCGCAATCGGCAATTCCTTTAGATCTACCCCAAATTAAGATGCCGGCTCATTTTCCACCACATCCCATGGGGAAAATTGGTCCCCCGTCGCATCGCATTCACTCACTTCGTCATTGACTACCGTTACCGACGGGAAATACGTTGTCGCGCGCGAAGATGTCATAACACAAGAGCGGTCTGCTATTCTCTCGTACTAGCCCGTGCCCAAGTGTGCCATCCTTCTGCACCTGCCGATCAGCAATGCAATCGATACGTGGCCCACTGCATCACGAAGACACGCCGACACCCGTATGAACGATAGAACGAGCATCAGGAAGGTCAATACCATGGCGCAATCGTTCGGCGCCCGACGTCTTTAGCTCTGTTGCGCAATCGCAAATCTACCGGCAGCCCTACCCGGTCGAGGCGGCTGGACACCACTGATCTTCGAAAGAATGCGCCGAGTTCCCAAGGTACGCTGCCATGCTTCACCTCAGTCTCTCCATAGCTTGCGAAACAGCTTGCCCGCTGGTTGGTTAACATAGCTGTAATGCACCTATCCAAAGAGGCGAGCACAAAATCTATGGGAAAAGATGAATACCTACCTAGGTGCCTCCCAACCTAGAAGTACACGTTGCCTTGGAAGCTCGTTGACTTTATCGCAACCCAGTATTTCAGTTTGTACCTTGAATAAGGCGCGAGGCACATTCCCTCTCTACCCATGATGCCCCAGCTCCATGGCATCGAAATTCACGCTTGCGGCCCATGAGCTGCTAACACGACACTCCAGGCTATATATGGTCGAAGCGGCACAAGTATGAGCATGCCTCATGGTTGCGAAATGATTGGACAGGCTCGCGCGCGAAAGCCAGAAGGTCCCATGATCACGAACAGGGCCCACCTTCAAGACGACTACCACCCACCTGTGTTATCTTTGTGGAGAATTTTCTTCACGACACGGCCTTCAATCGTGGCTCGAACGTCCAGCCAAGGCATCGTGGCCCACAAGCTGGACGGTGATCATTGCCCAGGCGTCAATGGGCTCAAATTCCAAACCGTGGCGACGCCCCTCAACATCACCCTAGGGTTGTTACGAAGCACAATCTTGTCCAAGAAAAAGATGAGCTATCGGGTTCTTCTCTCTATTGTCTCCCTGTGCAAGAAGGTAAGACGTCTCAAGCAAGTGACGCAACCTATAAATTTTCCCCGGCCGAATTTCCTTCACGATGTGGATATACCGCCGCGCCGGCCCGACCAGATCTCGTAGAATGCTTAGGCCATAGCATTTCGAATACAGTGGCTAGCGAATGTGACTTCCCCTTTGAAAGCAGCAAAATCAATTAAGGTCGTACTGTTCGAAGAAAAACCCGACTTCTTCGTTGCTCATGACTGACTGGCTGCATCGCTATCTCAGTCTTGCCAGCGAACTTTCACTCACCAACCAGACGGCATGCGTTAAGCAGACTGGTGTTTGTATCCATGCGTAGCAGCGGTGAAGCTGCTATCGCTAGCCACGGTATTGCTTCGGAGAGGGTATGGTTGAGTACTATTTTACTTCGTTGTGGAGTAGGCCAACTCATGTGCAATATGAATAGGTATAAAAGCTACAGGTTATGAATCATTCTACGATCAACTCTCCCATCACCTTACAAAACATTCCACAAGCACGCAGCAAAAGCAGCAATGAAGCTCTCTTCTTTTATCACCCCTGTTTGCCTCTTGGGCGTAGCAGCATCAGTCGAAATGACTCAGTACTCCACAGGATCCGGGGTCGAAGTGGGTTTTGAGTCCTTCGTCAAAGAGTACGATATCCCATGATTCTCCCGTAAACGGCAAGAACGACTAGAGCACTAACCCAAACTTGTAGGCTCTACGCCTCCGCGGAGGACCCGTCCGCTACAAGCACTTTTACCGATTTCTTCACACCCAACGGGCAGCTCATTGTTCTTGAGAACACTGCCACTGGCGCTGAAGAGATTGTCGCGCTGAAGGAGGAGCTTCTCCCCGTAGCAGGCAACAAGCTTTGGAATCATCTGCCCAACGTGACTACTGTCGACTCGGAAACGAGCGCAGAGAAGACATACCAGGTGCTTGGTGTTATCGAGACGAGATACGATGGTGGAAACTGCTCTCAGGCCTAGTACGTTCCAAAGTCACAACTCCGTGAGCATTGTACTAGTCTGATGGAGTATACTAACGATGCAACTCCCGCAGCTACTCGACCCGCTTTACCGTTACCAAGGACGCCAGCGGACTACCCCAGCTCACACCCCACAGTGGAAGCCTCGTCGCGTACGACGATTTCATCGTGAGCCCATCAAACACGCCGACCGATATAGCTTGTGGGGCTTAGTGTGAGCGCTGGGGGGCGCGGCCCACTGACCAAGATCTTTTCGCGAATTCGATTTGTACGCAAAAGGCATGGATATATTGCTAGCAAAAGTAGAGCACGTCACGTATTTAGTCTCATGTTATAGAATCACATTGATACTGTCTGTATTCAAGCAATCAAAGCGGCTCTAGCGCCATTTTCGTACCAAGATCGACTGAACTGATGAATGCCTACCCAGCGTGGCAATATCGACCGTATGCGTGTCAAGCTCACACTGGCTAGATTTATCACTACATCGCTGTACATGTAGACGTTGATAACAAGACGACCCGTCAACTCACAGCTGTCATTCCAGCTCTCACAATGATTGGTGTTCATAGTAAATATCATTCCATATTTGCTGATCTATTCTTTCCCACCAGTAACCCAGGCACCAAAAGTAAAGCAAGTCTCACAGACCAACCCATGTCCTCCAAAGACATGGTCAAGACGTCCGTGCGCGACAAATATGTCGTACTCGAAGAGGCTCCGCAAGGCTTCCACGGTGGCAAACAGAACGTCGGTGTCTACGTTGTGAAGTATCGCCCTTTGAACGAAACATGCGTCGAAAAGCGCGTGACTGCGT